AGCCAGTTCTGGCTGGTTTTCTTCCAAAACTTCATCAAAAACAAAATCTGTTTCATCTAATCCTTCCTCCTCTTCTTCAATAAAAATTGCTCTCTGTGTTTCCACAAATCTAGTGTTATTTTTTAAGACAATAAAACCTATAACCTTTTGTCCTATCTGGATATCCTATGAAGAAACAGCTCACTGTTTTGGAATCAAGTTTCTTCTGCATAGGATTGTACAGCTTTGCCTCTGCCTTGCATCCCCAGGTCCTTAGATGAGCCAAGCTAGGCTTTCCTTTACACCAGATTTCATAGGGTATGTTGTTTGTAGCTTTGGTGGGAATTCTGTTGGCAAGGTAGTTTGCAGTTTTTAAAGCTTCTCCCCATAGAAAAGTAGGAAGCTTTGCACAACACATCATGCTTCTCACCATCTCTATTAAGGTTCTATTTTTTCTTTCTGAAACACCATTCTGCTGCGGTGTTCCAGGATTTGTATATTGTGCAACAATGCCCTCTTGCTGTAGGAAGTTTGCAAAAGGTCCTGGATTTCTTCCTTTTTCTGTGAACTTGCCATAGAACTCTCCACCCCTATTTGATCTTACAACTTTTATCTTGGAATCCAGCTGGTTTTCCACTTCTGCCTTGTAGATTTTAAACATTTCCAATGCTTTGGATTTTTCTGTTATCAGATACACATATCCATATCTTGAAAAATCATCTGTAAAAGTAATAAAATAACTGAAACCATCATGTGTATTAACTGGAAAAGGTCCGCAGATATCTGTGTGTATTATCTCAAGTAGTTTCTCACTTCTTATTGCCCCTTTCTTTCTGAGATTTGTTAGCTTTCCTTTTGCACATTCAATGCATGTTTTATCTTGTTCATGGTGATTAAGTGGTGGGAGAATTGATTCTTTGCATAGGAGATTCATTCTTTCTTTCGAGACATGTCCAAGTCTCTTATGCCATAGTGTGAAAGATTCTGCATTACAAGGCTGTTTTGAACTTAACACATTTATCATCTCTGTACTTTGATTTGGTAATTTGCAGTTCAAACGAAACATTCCATCGATCAATAATCCATTACCAATAAAACTTTTATTTCTGAAAATGGAGAAACCAGACTCATCAAACTCAAACTGTAAGTTTGATTTTACAAGCTTGCTAACTGATAACAAATTTCTTGTCATAGAAGGAACATAAACGACATCAACTAATTCCAAAATAAAACCTGAATCCAACTCAAGACTAGCTAAACCAACAAAATCTATTCTAACTCTTTCTCCATTTCCCACGAACACCTTCAAGTCAGCCTTGTTTGGCACCCTCTTTGTTTTGAATCCCTGCAAAGAG